GCTGGTGCAACCCTCCTCTCCAGCACTTTGATATGGCCCAGCCTGCTTGGGAAAAGATTGGTATTTATAGAGGAGGAATCGTGCCTGTTTTGTTTCAAAGGTATAGTACTAATCACATGCATTGACCATTCTTTGTCACAAGTTCTTTCTTTTTTTCATAATCTAATATTGTATCATATGGGATAATGATGCAGGGTTCCTTGCAAGAAGCATGGAGGAGTCAGATTCACCATTAATGGAAGAAACTACTTCGAGCTTGTCTTGATTAGCAATGTGGCTGGAGCTGGATCCATTCAATCTGTGTCCATTAAAGGCTCAAAAACAAGCTGGATGGCAATGTCAAGAAATTGGGGAGCTAACTGGCAATCTAATGCTTATCTCAATGGCCAGTCTTTGTCCTTTAAAATCACAAGTACTGATGGACAGACCCGATTCTTCACGGACATTGTTCCAGCAAACTGGGGATTTGGCCAGACTTTCTCTAGTTCAGTACAGTTCTAAAATAATTATCAGCAGCTTTAGAGTTCAGAGTCTAAATTGGCCGAGGCGTGCTTATAATTTTACTTGAGCAGCCCGCCACAATTATTTTTCTGATGATGGCTGGGACAATAAGTTTCTGGCTCTGGATTATGATTTGAAGAGGGAGGGTGAGGAAAGGAACCCATGGACTCAAGGCTAGCTGCTACTGAGCTGTTGTGCTTTAGTGATCACGGATTTGCAGAGTTGTATTTTTGTATTTATATAGTTATTGCAACTTAATATGAAGCGCAATCAATTTGCAGCTTAATAATATAAATAATATTTTTGTTTTGGTTAATTTAAGCTTGTAAAATTATATTTGTCAAGACCTGATCATAGGATTGATCTATAAAATCCCGAGTTATTGAATTAACCTACCAGTTATTTAAGTCAATAGAATCTGTTATTTTTTTAATTTCTTTCTTTTGAAGATGATGCAATTAAATTTGGATTAAGTTTAATTAAATTTATCAAGGTTAATAAACACATGATTGAGTTAATCAAGTTTTATCAAATTGATATCTTTTTAATTCAATTTAAAACCTAACTCAAGTTATACTTTAAATGTTTTTTCAAAGAAATCTGTCAGACTTAGTGTAATTACTATTTTCACAGAACATTTTTTTCTTTCCAATTCCTATAATAACATGAATATATGATATAGTTAAGTCGATTCACCAATAGTTTGATCACACTTTTTTGAACGTGTGCTTGGTGTGCTTGAAACTAAGACAAATTGAAAAGCATCGCACCATTGTTAATCCCAAACTGATACGGCGGAAATTAAAGATAATAATAAATAAAGAACATAATTTTTTTATAAGCGAAAAAGACTGTGAATATGAAATTCACAATTTTTTTTTTAAATAAGAATAAGAAATTTTCATTATTGTGTGACATCAACCCCACCTCAACCACAAAATAAAAAATTCAAAATCTAAAATCATAAAGGAAAGAAGTGTAAAATTTAAGATAAAAAGGAAATTCATAAATAACAAAAACAATCACAAAAATTGTCAAAACTAGGATTATGAGATGAGATTTTTGATATTAAAAAAAAATAATTTTTAAAAACTTTTATAAAAATTTGAACATGATTTAATAATTGGATCAAAGTTATTATATTTTTAAACTATTATTTTGATTTAGTGTAATAAGATATTCTTTTGAGTTTAAATATGTTGGTTGGTTATCAACACTTCTAAAATATAATTATGATTTTATCATTACAAATAAAATAATTTCATGATTTGATTGTGAATACTAGGTTGAATTTGAGAAAATTTTTGTTTAATCTTCCTATAAGATATCATAATAAAAAGGACGTAGGTGATTTGAATAAAAAAAATTAAAGAAACATAATTATAAAAAAAAATATGATAAATTGATATGTCAATAATTTAGTTCAAGGATCTGGACATTCATTCTTATAAACTTGCTAATCATTAAAGTAAAACAAATATCATTTCAATTCAAACAAATAAATTCGACATCCTTTAAAGTTAAAGGAAATTAAAAAGATTATGAGTAAATTAATTAGATAAAACTTTCCAATCAATTTTTTATTATTAAAAAAATTTAATATTGAAAATCAATTTTTATTTACTTGGCAATAACCTTAGAAAAAAAGTGTGTAAAATTTATTCTAATTAACCATTAAAAACCTTTAGTAATTTAACTTAACTTATTCCTTACCAATAAATTAAAATGATAGTTGTAGCAACTAAGTTAATTCATTTGCTTTTTATTCTAGTATTTAATAACAATTACGAATTGAAAGAAATTAAAAAATATATATATCATTTCAAAACAATTCAATAAGCATGAAAAAAAATCAATGATATAATCTTGAAATAAGGATAAATAAATACTTGATTATTAAAAAATTACAATATCAATATTACTTCTCATAATTTAATAATAGAAATGATGTCCATTCCTCTTGTATCGAAATTGAGAATTAGTTACTCATGATAAAATTCTAACAGCAAAGATGATTTGTCCCCTAAATCCCTATTAACCAATAACGTCCTACTCCTCTATATTTTTCTCCTCCTTTTGTTTTAATAGGCAACTTTCGTTAAGGTTAAATATTATGAGGTTATATATTGTAAAGAAAATTCATGTGATCTTGTCGGATTTCTTTTTAAGATAAGTTTATAAATTGTGAGTTTCCCATAAGATTACGGGATAAAACCCATCACCCAGCTTGCATCAAGATTCTTATCTTGGAAATAATTTTTGCAAACCTTAAACTCTTACAAAAGGTGTATCTAATTGTGTAGATGAATTTGAACTTTTGATTCTCTTAATTTAAATATTTAAATCTTAAGATATATTGGTTTAATTATTTGATGTGAAAATAAAGAATCTTATTGTAAATAGAATTTTAAATTAATTTTACAAATTTGAATAAGGGTTTAAATAAAATTAAATTTTTACTCATAATACCTTCTTGAAAAACTTGATACAAGTATTGCAACTTAAATTATACTCACGTTTGCATTCTGAAACTCTAACTTAGTGAAATACCTGTTATAATAAGTAAGATTTGAAAAATAAAATATAAAATTTCTTATTTTTTAGTAATTAATTCATAAAATTATTTAGACATGTTAAATTCATAAAATAACATAAGCTAAAATAAACTTAATATACATTAAAAAAAACATGATATAAAAGGAATAAAATTATATATATATATATATTTTGTACTTATCATATCTTCAATTAGTCTATAAATATATTTATTAAACTAGTCATAATTTTTTTTTAAAATAAATTTATATCTGGTCATGGCATACATTTGTACCTTACTACTCAAATTCATTTAATACAGCGAGGCTCGCTACATCACGAACTGATCTGGTAATCCACAGAGCAATACGGTTAGGTTTCACGTGGGCCAATTAGAGAGCTTGAGGCAAATTCTCAAATATTAGCAGCCCACACATGAGGTAGTTTTAGGAAAATTCTCAAATAATAGCAACCCAATTTAAAACCAGGAACTAAAACAAGTTGACGAGCAAGGGTGTCTTTGGAATTATAAGTAGTTTTAATGTGTTTATTTATTTAAAAATATATATATATTTTTTTATATTAACTATGAAAATATAATGTGGAAACACACCTGAAGACGAAGAAGAGTTGCATCAGCTGCTTTTACCTGACATTTGTGATCTTTCTATCACTCCTCCATTTTCTGTTCAAACCAATTTCGTCTCCTACTTTGTTCCAGGTTTCTGCTTTCCTATTCTTTTTGCTTGATTGATGATGCTTAACAAAGCAAATACTTTTCTTAATTTGTTGAATTTTGGATCAGATTTTGTGAAGCCAGGACACGACCAGTACGTTTATAGACATGCCATTGGGTACTATTTTAACTCTTTTGTTAAAATATATGTGGGGTTTTGATTAATTGTTTATGTATTGTTTTTGTGATGGAAAAAAGGTTGTGTGTTTGGCTCCGACCGATGTGGCTTTTAAGGACATAGGAGGAATCACGGCTGTTGATTTTAATGTTGGAAAGTCTGATCGCAGTGGCATTAAGGTCACTGGAAAGCGAAAAG